CTTTCAGTTTTACAATTCATTTTAGTTTTTACATTAATTTAAAAATGTACTAAATAAATATAAGCTATAGCCTTATGTTTTTATGTAAAATAATTTTGTTTTTCATATATTATTTTCAGACATGAGCAGTACTCACATAGCCTAATTAACGTTACGCATTTAAAGTAACGACCAAGTGGCCAGCGGCAGACAGTGAGCATGTGTTTGATCAATTTAGCCTTCTCAAATCATCCCGACTTGACTAAAATAAAATCTATAGATATAAAACGGTTCAAGCATATAACAATGTTTAAACGTTAAACCTAGGTAAATGTGCGCTATATCCAATAGTTTGCGTGGAGAGTGGAAGCTGAAGCGCGCTTTGCAGGACATGGAGGCGCCAGCGCGATCACTTGCGTTTTTTTCAGTGGATACGCCGTCATTTTTACTCAAAGGTAAGAGTAATACATCATTCGTAATTGTAAAGGGTCTACTGAAAATTTATCAGAAGAGATGAAAGAAAGATAGTGGTCATCTGCGCAATTCGGAAAAAGAGGCGGCTTTTCTGCATTAGGTATGTTTTTTTTTGTTGTTTTTTTTACTCTTTGTACAGCAGTTATTGTTCATTCTAAATAAATTTTTAAATGTAGAATGTTACATAAATACATGAAATGTAGAACATATAAAAAAGTGCTCGTGGCTCGTCTGCCAGTGGGTGCCCCCCCACGCATAAAAGTGAAACTCCGCCCATGATTTTGCCGTTACTCCTTTCGAGCCGAAGTTCACAAAATTGGGTGTCATTTATGGGGAGTAGAATTATTTATTTATTTCAATGAATGTAATCGATTAGATATCATAATATTTAGGCTATAATATTATAAATCAGGTCGGTTTGTATTGCTGACGTAATATGTAAATGATATGCGTGCGGCCCGCGAGACTTGCACTTGGACCATAGTGCGGCCCGGTAGAAAAAAAAGGTTGAGAACCACTGGTGTAGGGCAATAGCACATACAGTTTGTACAGTATAAAACCCATTACGCCTATGGAATGTACCCACAATTCACAAAAACAAACCTGTGTGTGTGTACACACAGGGAAAATACTCAAGTGCATGCAACATTTAATGCCGTGATTTTATGAATTTAAGACCAAGACTGATTTAAAGAGATGAATAACAGAATTTGTATTAAGTGAGAGAATGTTCATTTTTGGGTGAACTATCCCTTTAAACTGCGGAAAACGAAGAGCTTTTTGACTCTTTTAAGACCCACAGAGACGCAGAGTATGTGATTTTGCTGTATACATGTAATAATACCCAGATCACCTCCTAAAATGTGCAGTATACAACCTGAAATGTGTGGTTGTACCCCACAATGCAATGCACTTAAACATGATTTCTCATTTACACGGTGATAAACCAAAAGTTCATTAAAAAAAAAAAAATTCACATTCAGAACCAATAACTATAAAGTCATGACAAATCTTTCTTTGTTACAATAAAACAAATGTTAGGCAATATATAGAATATTCTGTATTATATTCTGAGAATATAATGCAGTGAGTGGTACACTAGTGGTACAGCCCGTGTGAGTGAGTGAGTGAGTGTGCGCGTGTGTGTGCGCGAGAGAGTGTGTGGTCCTGCTCACCTGTGACCCTTATCAAGGGTTTTGTCTAGTTTCCCCGTCAGAACGTTCCAAATGTACAGAACGCCGTCTGCAGAACCGGCCGCCACGTAACTCCCATCAGGACTGAAAACACAAACACAGTCCAGAAAAGTGCAAAACAGATGCAGTCTGGTGATTAATGAGCTTTCAGTTGATGAAACTAATTCAATGAAATGTAACACTGACATCACCAACTAAAATAAAAGCTCGAGGATTTCAAATGCTAAAAGCTTGTTGGTTTGAATGTTTAAAAGTAAATAAAATAAAATAAAATCAATGGACCCTTTTCACAAGACTGTGATGACGCGTTTATAAGTTTTCAATTACAAAATAAATAAATTAAAAAAAAAAAAAAATAGTTAACGCTAATGCGAGGGTGTTTCTAATGCAGCTCTATGGGAGGGACGGTAAATTTTACATCGTTCTCTCTTCCGAGTCTCTCTCAATTTTTGTCCTTTTATTGAAAGTCACGAAAACACTATCGTGGAGTTTTTCTTTTGCTATTTAAGCAAATGGGAATGCAAAAATATGTATTTGTGGTTCTCTCCCATTCACTGCTCTCGAAGTTAACCCAACTATGACGGCTTCCGTTGCTGAGAAACCCGGAAATGTGAAAAAGGTCCAGTAACTATATTAAACAATAATAATACCATCACATATTCATTTGTTTACAGTACAATTGTAATTAACATCATATATGTCATGTTTTTTTTTTACAACTAAAACATTTACATTATAATAATAACTGTCAAACATTGTGATTTGAACCAAGTAATAGCAATTCATTTTTTTGGCAGTCATGCAGCCATACAGAAGCAATTTTAAAATATAAACCATTTTTAAAAAAAATATAATTTTTATCTGTTTATTTGCATGTAAATAAAAAATTAAAATAAAAAAAAACTCATGCACTTTGCTGCTCTCACCTGAACGTGACCCTGGTGAAGTCTGAACCACACTTGAAACCTTGAGCACTGCAGAAAGACAGGAGTAATACAAACATGAAATCTCAATGCATTTTAAGTTGGAATACCAAAGAGCAATGCATAATAAATAAACTATTATATAAAGTGAAAAGGTGTGAGCAACGCACTCAAACGTCTGTCGCACTGCATTACTGCGCAGGTCGATGATTTTCACCAGATCGTCACGAGAGCAGCTCAGCAGCTCGGTCCGGTCGTGATTGAGGTCCAAAGATGTAATGCGTCCCAGCAACTCCAGCTCACACACGATACTCTCCGACCTAAACACCAGAAACATTAGTGACTGAGACAGAAGTATTCGAGCACTGCAGCCTAACTCAGTCAAATCGTGACTCACCTGATGTCCCAGAAACGAACTTTCTTATCGAAGTGTCCGCTCATCACACACTGCTCCGTGCAGACGATGTCATTACAGCTAGAACCAGCAAACACCGTCTTCATGCCTGAGAAAAAGAAAAAGAGTTTTATTTAGCAGTCTTATTAGGTCGATACTTCAAGACATTTAAAAGCAACCAGCAATTTTCATGAACAAATTCAGAGAAATAACAGTTCAATAAACTGTCAACTACCATAACATTTAATATTATATATAGACTACCGGTCAAAAGCTTTTCAACAGTAAGATGTTTTTTAAAGCAGAAGAGAATTAAAAATCTTACGGTTCAAAAACTTTCGACTGGTCATTTTATTATAGGAGATATTATAATCTAATCTTAATGTAATTAATAGGAACTTAAATATGATTTAATGTGAATTAAAATGAATATTATGTCAGTTTATACAATTCTTAAGCACTGAAAGTTGAAACCTGTTGAAAAGTTGAAAAACAAACTAATATTTAATGTTAAATATTAAACAAGTATTAATGTAATATTAAATTAAATGAGTATTATAATTAAATTAAACTACAATAAACTTTTAAAATTCATTAAATATTAAAGTAAATATAATTCATATTTAAAAAATGTATATTAATAAGATTCATTTGTAATTTTTTACAATTTTCATTTGAAATTCTGATGCATTTAAAGTTTAAATTGAAAAGTTGAAAAATGAACCAATATTCAATTAAAATGTTAAAATTAAATGATATTCAAATTAGGGATGTCAGTTTTCGATTATTTCCATGATCGATCGTCATTTAAATTAAAGATCAATTAATTGATTAATCGGTAACCTTAATACTGCAAAATGCATCTATTGCAGCGGCATATTCACCAGCATGACAGGATGCGCAAACGCCAGCTTCCTCACCCGAAATAAAGGGGTTTCAGTCTAAATAAAAGGCTAGTAGCAAGATTGTAAAATGAATAGATGTGATTATGATTGGTTTATAACAGAAATAATGGATTAGCAGGCAAATGTTACATTCGTGACCATACTTTTGCATTCATGCCATACACACTTTGTTCTGTTTTGCCAGTCGGTCACGAATTTAATAATATTTATTATTTCTTTTCCCAAATCTTCACGGTCTCACCCTCTAATTTCACAGGATTATTTTATCGTCATGCACTTTTAATCAGTTTTCGCATCTCTTACTGTGGTAAAAATGCGGGGCGAAATGAAATGATTTTGTGGCCATTAATTAAGAATTCGTTCCCTCATTTTAGTTAAATCATGGGTTTTCTAAGGAACAAATGAATGAAACATGGACAGTGGCCACAAGTTAATTCAAATATTAATTTAATATGAATTCAATTAAGCATTAATTAACGTTAACATTTAGTTTGTCACCCAGAAAATGTACAAACAACATTTTTGAAGGCTAAGCAAAAGAACCAAGCCTCATTTTGCATCTCATTCATGGACACTGGCAATTAAGCAGCAAGGACAACAACTAAGAGTCTCTTACAGACTTTGCTGCGCAAGTCCCAGAGCTTGAGCGTTCGGTCGTAGCTGCCGGAGACGATCCGAGAGTTATCGAGGAGAAACCGAGCGGATAAAACCTTCCCGCTGTGCCCTGTGAGTGTGTGCTTTGGAAAAAAAGAAGATACAATGAATTAAATACGTATGCAAACAACTCAACTAAATTAAGGCCTGTTATTTCTAGCAGTAAACGAGGTTCAGCTGAACACAGATTCAGGTCTCAGTAGGATTTTTGAGATCAGCTGACCAGGCTCCTTCAGTCTGGCCCTCCTGTGTTTGTGTTTCTGTGGGATGTTTCTGTCAGAGTCTCACTTGATTCTCTAAAAAGACTCTTATTCAGCAGAAACATCCATTATGTCAGCCGCCACATCAGACCAGGGCTGCACAACTAGAGCATGCTGGGAAAATTAGTAGAGCTGGCTGGGAGAGACAAGGGGACTGGAAGGAGACCTGGGCATCAGACCTTTTACATCACATCACTGACCTTTGAGCCAACTAATAAACCTTGAATGTAAGCTTATGCTTGATATATGTGACCCTGGACCACAAAACCAGTCATAAGGGTCAATTTTTCGAAATTGAGATTTATACATCATCTGAAAGCTGAATAAATAAGCTGAAAATCTGGAATCTGAGGGTGCAAAAAAATCGAAATGAGAAAATCGCCTTTAAACTTGTCCAAATGAAGTTCTAAGCAATGCATATTATTAATCAAATTAAGTTAATATTTACAGTAGGGAATTTACAAAATATCTTCATGGAACATGATCTTTATTTAATGTCCTAATGATTTTTGGCATAAAAGAAAAATCTGTAATTTTGACCCATACAATGTATTTTTGGCTATTGCTACAAATATACCCCAGCGACTTAAGACTGCTTTTGTGCTCCAGGGTCACAGGGTCACATTTGTCAGTGAATCCCAGGACAATAATAATAATCTCCAGCTGTGGTTATATTTAGAAAAAAACTAAGCTAAACTTGCATGCATGCAATTAGTAAAATGTGTCAATTTATGCACTTAAAGAAAAAAAAAAAAACCCCACTAAAACCATCTATTAAATCCATAAATAACAAGAATAAGAGATATTTTGTCAATATGACTTAAAACCAGCAAAGTGTGCATTTAGACTAAAACAACTACTCATGCACGCATGGCTGTGTTTTCAGTGAAATCCTCACCCGCAGTCTGTAATCATCAACCGTCCAGATTCTGCTGGCAAAATCATTAGATGCAGCCAATAGATACAAGCCCTGCAGAGCACAAACACACTGCTATCAGTCACGACAGTAAAACACTTTGCTTTCATTTTGTTCCTCATTGGTGCAGATTTGGTAAGATGTGCATTACATATAGTTCATGTTATAGGAAGATTTTCTACCTGAAATTAAAGTTATTTTATTTTTTTTAAGGATTTTTGTGGCTTTTAGTCCATATCTATCATATCTTTGAGGTCATCTATTTATGACAGTGAACTCCTAAGACAACATATATATGAAGAGTTCATTTGCAAAAACCGATAACTCAATTTTTTTCTTCATTTTTCAGAAATCACGTTTTTTTTATTGCGCATTCTAAGTAATATCAATCAAACTGCAGTTGAGTTGTTTTGATGAATAACTTAAATACAGCTGATTTACAAAATTAAAGTTCATTGAAAGTATTTTTTTTTTTTTACATATTAAAAGTTTGTTTTATAGCAAAAGCACATAACCCCAACAGTCGTTTTTTGGCAAAAGCAGATAACTCCACATTTCATGTTTTAGAGTTAAAAAAAAAATAAAAAAACACTCATTTAATCTTTGTAATCTCCTCAGATGACAATGTAGATGCCCGACAAACGTTGTTGTTGTGATCATAACTGTATGGATGTGATTACACGCGATACACAGAGCTTTTCCCTCATCATTGTAACGCGCTGCTTTTGCAAGCGTCCGTGAAAACGTTTCAGCTTTTATTTTCCTTTTTCGACCTGAAGATATCACAGATTCATCAAGTTCGTCGAAATGATCCATCCTCGAGCTTTGACAAACTCCTCTCAGCTAGCACGTCTTTTCAAACTGAAAGTAGCCTTGTCACCTGACCTGAATACAGCGCGCTGATTCGCTAAAATGGGCTTATCGGCTTCTGTTCAAAAACAACAAGGGCGCTTGTCGGCTTCTGCAGTAAAACGTGAACTCTCGATTCCTTGAAAGTGGACAAAACCAGCTTTTTTGGACAAAACGTGTTTAGGGTTCAGATCGTGCTATATGTGGAGAATAATGCACGGTAATCAGCTCACTTTTTTTTTTAAAGTGGCGTTTATCGGTTTTTGCAAATGAACTTCATATATAAATAATAAAAGGTATATAAATAAAGGTTAGCAGATATATGAAATTGTCAAATCAATTACTGAGGTATGTAGGGCCCTATGAAACATTTTTTTATTATTGACAAAATTCAGTGTTTTCCATTTTATTGTTTCTGGGTTCTGTTTTAGAGCGTCACATAAATTAATCAAATCATGTCGAATCAATTGAATGCGTAAAAATTTAACAATTTTAACTTCTAAAATGTAATCAAGTGAAAATGTAAAAATCCCTTTACAATAGAATATTGGGTAACACTTTATTTCAAGGTGTCCTTGTTACAGGTACTTACTATTATAATAACAAATTATGCATAGTGCAAGTAACACTAAGCCAAACCCATATAGTAAATACATGTAGTTAATTAATATCACTCAGTACTTAAATATTTTAATTACACTGCAACAAGGACACCTTAAAATAAAGTGTAACCAAATATTGTTTTTATTTACTATTTCTTACATTGTTAATTCATTTTAATTTACTAAAAAACAAACAAAAAAAAAAAACACAATTTATGTTTTTTATAGTGAAATTTCTGGCATAATTATGTTAAAACCAAACTTAATTTGCTGGTGTGTAGTGAAGAACATAAGAGTTTTAGTGCATTTGATAATAGTTTTTATCAAATAAAATAATGAAATGCTTGGGAACGCACACATTAATTTATTCATCAAAAAATCGGCCATAAATCCACACCAAATTCCTTAATTATACACTATACGGTGGATCCTTCCGTTTTCTGCATTACGAAAATCATAGGACTCTAGGTTAAGACTTTCTGACTTATGTCAAATATTAGTTTCTCTCATTAGTAACTGTATCCTTATTTAAAGTTGACATTGTAATGTAGAAAGAATAACTCACCGCACTATCAAACTCTATGCTGGTGATTCCAGCATTACTGCCCGTCAGCGCACCTTTAGGTTCACATCGCCCTGGAGAAACAAATAAAAGCTTTTAAAACCCCACACAGACAAACCTGAACATCTACTGCATCTTTGTTTCAGGAGGAAACAGAAATTCTGCAGTTTCATTAAACCTTCGGCACAATTTGGCCAATTTCCTCTTTGAAACAACTGAAGGTCTCAGCTTGAAAACTTGAGATCATGAGCCTGCCAGACGCTCTCCTTCAGTCCGGCCCTCCAGTGTGTTAGGTTACTGTTTGACACTGCTGTTATCAAGTCGTCTTGTTCTCTAAAAGACTCTAAATATACAGCAGACACATCCATAATATTAGCCACCACCTCGAACCAGCAATGCACAACTAGAGCAAGCTGGAGAAAAATGAACCGTGGCTGCTGGGAGGGACAGAAGGACTGGAGAGAGACGAAGGCTTCGGACCTTTTACATCTCATCACTGACCTTTGAACCCTGACGAAACTGTGAATGATAATATAGATCTACAGTACCAGAAATGACCTCCCAGAGCTTCACCCTGCGGTCCATTCCTCCCGTGGCAAGCAGACGGGAACCAGGACTGAACCTCACGGCGTTCACTTCTCCATCGTGGGCGTCCTACACACAAAACAAGATTAGGGGTTTCATCGCTCTGCTTTTAGAGACCTCAAATGAACCATTTCAGATTCAAATGACTGGGTTTTGTGTTGTGGGTCAAATTGACTCCCATTGGTTTCCATGCAATTCGTCAGATGCATGTAAAAACAGAACTTCTATTGTAGCTTGTCGTAGACTAAAACCATACATTATGAGAAATTAAAATGGTTACATCCTTTGTGTTGCGAAGTTTGGCAGCTGATAACTTACGTAAAAAAAAAAAAGATATAATTTATAAATTGTAATGCGTGTGTGTGTGCATGTGTAAAATACAGACAAAAAAATGCTCATCTATATTTACAAATTAAATTAAATAGTGATATTTTGATAATGTGATTTAAAAACAAATGAAAGGGATCATATTTAATTGAGAATGTAATGAAATGTTAAATGCAATTTAAAAATCAAAATTAAATCCACACACATACATACACATATACATACACATATATACATACATACATATATACATACATACATATATATATATATATATATATATATATATACACACACTACACATTTTAATGAATTTAATGCATAAAATAATGTTTCCTTTTTCATTTCACATTTCATAAATTTATAGGGGTTAATTTGACCTGCTTATTTCGGTGTTCAAAACGAACTGCACACACACAAAATAAAAACCATTTCCTTCATTTTTAACAAATGATTTTTGCCAAATTGCATGGAAGCCAATGAGGTGCAACAGGGAAGTCTATATGAACACAAATGCCACATAATTACTCAAATTTGTACAGCTTTTGCAAAACACATCCATGTTGAAACTTTGCATGCACATTCATGTCCCTAAATGAGAAATATTCCTAAATTTGGAAAGAGAAATAATTTTAACCAGTTTATCAAGCAGTTTGAAAATCAAGTGTGGGTCAAATTGACCTGCAACACAATAGGAGCGGAGGGTTTGTTTTAATTCAGTTAAATGAATTTTACAGTGCTATTAGTGCAGCAATATGGAGGCTGATTTCCTGTTGTTGCTTTTAAAACATGTAGCATTCAGGTTCACCAAACTTTGACTGAAAATGAGATGGAAATTCAACCAAATAATTTGCTCCCATCCTCTTTAAAGCAGAACTGGTCAAATAAAGCTGGTTTTCTTCGGTTTTAAAGGCCTCAGCTTGAAAACTTGAGATCATGCACCAGTTTAACGTTCTCCTCCTGTCCAGCCCTCCTTTGTGTTGTAGTTCTGTAGGATGCTGCTGTCGAGGTCTCACTCGGTTCTCTAAAAGACTCTTAAATCAGCAAAAACGTCCATAGTATCAACCGCCACCTCGAACCAGCAATGCACAACTAGAGCATGCTGGGAAAAATGAAGAGGGGCGGAAGGACTGGGAGGAGACCTGGATTTCAGACCTTTTAAATCACATCATTGACCTTTGAAGCCTGACCTCTGAAGATCAACATAAATTGAAGGATGAATTAAAAAGACACGAGGAAAGAGACACTCACAAAGATGTGCAGCGCAGTGGAGGGAACTCTGACATCAGTGCACGCCGATGGCACCTCTGCGCTTTCAGGAGACGAGCCGAACGAATTCACCGAGCGCCGTCTTCTAAGGGAGAGAAAGAGCATGTGTCACACGGGCTGAGCTGAACTCGTTTTGCAGGATCTTACGGTCTCATGTTTCTTGCAAAACATGTCATCTTCATAAAGAGTGTCATTCATTGACTGAAGCATTTATAAATGCATGACTGAATCTGTAACATTGATTTTAGCATTGCAACATTTTAGGAAAAAATGCAAATCTCGTTGACAAACAAAACTGATGCAAAAATTTGGGTGGGTGATGATATGAATATTTAAAATTATATTTTATATTATAATGCGTGCAAAATACAAACCAAAAAATGCTTATTTATATTTAAAAATTAAATTCTAAATAAGAAAAAAAGATTTTATTTTTATAAATTATGATGTGTGTAAAATTTAAATGATAAATAGCAACCTCCATATATTTTGATAATG